CCCTGTCCACTGTACAAATCTCTGCCAGACCTCGACCTTTGCACCTGTTCCCCTGCCTTGAGGGGATCACTATAACCAACACCTTACAAATTCTTCTTGATATAAGCAAATATGTACCTATACAAAGATACATTTTTCTACCTTTTAAAATATTACAAACGGAAGTATGTACATAACCCTTCCTTATCTTTCTCCCTCCAAATTATCTTGAAAAAGAACAAATAGAGCTTACACCCTTTTAATGACTGCTCCGAACTCCATCATGAGTGTACCATAATGCTTTAAATCAGTTACTGATTTACAGAGAAACATTTTGACTTCAGAAAGCTTCTAATCTTAGGTTTGCACACTTGTCACTTCACAGTGGGTGTGGTTAATTTCTAGAAGTGAAATTTGCTGGGCCAATGGGCATGTACACATATAATTCTGCTAGACCGGCTGTACTGATTTATACTCCCACAGGCAATGTTTGCGAGTGCCTGTTTCCTCGCCCCTTGCCAATCCAAGTGTCAGCAGACTGACATCAAATTCATTTTATACTCCAGTACCAACTCTTGACTTACATGGGTTAGCGTCATCATTATCTCTAACTCATTAGGTTCACCTGAACAATGTTTATGAAGTACCCACTCTGTGTTCTCTAAACACAAAAGAACAAAACCCATCAATTAAATTAATAAGAGCTTCTGAAACTCAGCAGAGAGGAAGACTAATTCAACTTGGGCGAAACCTCCCTGGAGGAAGTAAGCTCTGACTTAGATCTTGTAGGACATGCAGGCTTTGAACAAAGAGAAAGGAGTTCCAGGAGGGAAGCGAGGACAGTGCGATAAGACACGAAAGCCCAGGACATGGCCAGCGGCAGACCAGTTTGAGGAGGGAAAGATAACGCTCAAGTGTCGCTTCTAAGAGTGACTGACCCAGCAAGGCCTCCGCTTGGGAGGAAACAGGCAGTGGACAGAACACTGGACCGAGAGAACTCCACTCCTGGCATCAGCTAAGCAGTCGTGAGGAAAACCAGTTTACCTGGGCTTCAGTTTCCTCAGGGAGGTTAGTCCAGAAACTCAACTTGCTGTAGCCACAGAGCAGCATGTGCTGCATGAACCTCATGGGAAAGATTAGCATCAGGCCAGCAGAACAGTGTTGGCAGGGAGGAACAGGCAGGGGCTTCTCGGCTCCATATTCCAGTCACTCCATCCTGACAACCTGAGGGGCACCAAGAAACTCTTAGGAATATGGGATGCAGAGTATGACAACAAGGAGGCCGAGACAACTTAGGTACCCTTCAGCTGTGAAAACTACAAGACAGCACACCTCTACCTTCACGTCTATTCTTCAATTCATTTAACATGAATTCACCAAGTACCTACTATATCTCAGGCTGGGAAGACAGGAGTGAACAGTATAAAGATGCTTCCCTCTCAGGTTCAATTTCTATTTGGAAGGGAAAGAGAAAAATGAACAAATTTATAATGTCAGAGCAATGAGAGCAAGAGAGAAAAGTGTAATAAGTGCTCCATCCATCAAAACTCTACTCACCCTTCTCATCAGAAGGCATTCAGCCTTTTCAGACTTGCATCCTCAGACTGACAGTCCTCTTCTCTCAAATCCTGCAGCACTTTGGACCAGGCATAAGTCTCTGCCACCTGTTAACTATTTCACTGCACTGGGCATGTCTCACTCAGAGCATAAGCCTCTTGTGGTACGACCCCAGTCTTGGACAGCCAGCACAGCGTACTTGGGTACTCAGTGCTGTTGACTGCCATGACAACACTGCCATTTTAGAGTCAAACGCATTCTTAAAGCTTTCTTCCTTTCCCCAACACTATGGACTAGAATTTCCAAGTAACAAAATTACTTGAAAGGGCAGAATCAAATGAACACACTAACTCAACAGGATACCAAATCGGATCTGGTAAGAAGAAAATGACCTCCAGGTAGCCCAGGTGTTTGCAACAGAAGTAACCACCTAGTCAAGGCCCAAACCATGGGATGGAACCTAAAGGAAAAGAGTGGGGGCAACTGCCTATTCCAGGGAGCCTGGGCAGATGAGGATGTGCACAAGAAAAGGGCATACCCAGAGTCCCTGCCCACCAGGCCTCTCAGTCACCTCCTCCCTGGGATGGGGACTGGCCCTCCCACTCTCCCGCCGCCACCCTCCTGATCTCACACCCCCGCAGGCAGCTGAGTGCTCTGTTCCAGGCACTCAAAAAACCTATCCTGCCACCATGTTCCCCCTTCCTCTTCTTATAACAGAAAAAAAGGTGCCTATCGGAGTTCTTTTTTTATGTCAAAAGAGCTGACAATCCCTACATAGTATCAATTGTGTATTATTATTCACAACTGAGAAAGCACATGGACAAAAAGCTGTGACACAAATGTTCACAACAGCCAAGAGGTGGAAACAACCCAGGTGCCCATCAACAAATTAATACATTTATAATATGCAGTATAACCATACACTGGGACATTCAGCCATAAAAAGGAATGAAGTACTGACACAAGCTACAATGTGGATGAACCCTGAAAACATTTGCTAAGTACCACAAAGAAGCCAAACGTAGCAGGTCCTGTATTGTATGGTTTCATTTATATGAAATATCCAGAATAGGCAAACCCCAAGAGATAGATAACAGATTAGTGGTTGCCAAAGTTTGGGAGAAGGAGTGCAGGAGTGACTGTTAATGGGTACAGGGTATCTGTCCTTTTGGGATGATGAAAATGTTTTGGAGCTAGGGAGTGGTCTCAGTTACACAATATTGTAAATGTACTAAATGACACTGAATTGGACATTTTAAAATGGAAAATTTTAGTTAATGTGTATTTTGTCACAATAAATAAGTACCTGCAAATTCAATGAACTTGAAACAACTACAGTTAATAATAACAACAATGGCTAGCATTTACTGAACTAGGCATTGCTCTAAGTACTCATATTTAACCCTGAAATAATTAGCCTCATTTTACACAAAATAATACAGGCACAGAGAGATTAAGTATCCAAAATTAAATAGCCAGCAGGTGGCAGAGTCTCAGAACAGGAATCTGAAGCCCATCAAGTTTCAGAACGTATGTTCTTTGTCACAGCTCCATGGCCTCACAATACAGAGCGCTCCTCACTTGGGCCCACTCCAGTCTTTTTCACCACCCACCTACCCCAAACATCATCTCATTCCCCACTGAGAACTACCTACTCAGCCTTTGTGTGTGCAGTGCCTTCCACCTGGAGCACCCAACGAGTGCTGCTGCCTGGTAAGCCTCTCCAGGGTTCTTGTACAATCTGTCTTACACTGTTCTTTCCACTTGCATTCATGCCTGCAAATACTGACTGAGAGCCCATTTTCACCTGAAGACAGGAAAAAAGAACTACTTTTATGCCCCCAGCAAAACCAAAGTTACCTTGTATTCTGCTGGTGCACAACGTGGATTGCAAATCTATGAACCACAAGACTGGGTCAGTGGAGACATTTTGTTTGGCCAACACAGTGTTTCCAAACACCAACAACGTAATCTGAATGCCATCCCCAGGGCACCCAATTCTGGTGTGGCAGACTGCTGTTAGTATTGTCTTGTGGCAGGTGGCTCCAGGCAAGTAAGCTACCCTGACCTAGTCACTGACTGACTCACTCATTCCTCCCAGTTACTTTTCTTTCCATCACTGTTCTTTCACATACAGTAAATCATGTCTACAAATGATACCAACAGAAATAAAGGACATAACAGATATATCACTTCATTTCTAAGGATAAAAAAACTCTCTATATAATTTCTAAGATGGAAATATCCCTAAAATTGAAAAAACTTCAAATCAGAGTAAAACTAAAATGTAAGAGCTTCTAGAAGCAGGGTCCCTTCTTGGTGCCCACACTTCTAAGCAAGATGGGGAGGAAGGTGCCCTAGCAGTATGGGTCCAGCCTGGCAGAGGGTCACTGCTAGCAGTCTCAACTCCAGGGATTTCTGAGAAAAGGTCGGGGACCTTTGTTTTAGAAGGTTTACTTTTAAATTTCACCAGGAAAACCAGACATTTAGTGTTTGAGTTATTTCTGTTTAGCTTACAACACTGCTCAAGTTCAGAGAATAAGCACCAAAAACAGAAATGGAAGGGGACGCTGACTGAACACACCGTGCCTGAATCTTATTTCAAAGCTTTAGCTCTCTTGATTAGCAGGAAGAGGACCAGTTGTATTAACACACAGAAAGTCCACAACCATACCCTCCAAAGCAAAGCTGCACTCAGCACACTATAAAACAAGAACCAAGTCAATATGCACAAACTTCAAAAAGGTCAGACAAGGGTCTTAATCTGGCATGAGGAGTAAGTATCTTTGCTTGTGGAAAAAAATCATATTAAGTCAGAAGTCTTGGATATTACTATTTACATCTAATAGGAATCAAAATAGAAAGTTATTTTCTATTTAACTGTTAAATTAAGATCCTCTACACAAACCATTCTCTACAAATAAAACTTCAGCCCTAGCTGAGTTACTGAATACCTGTATACAAATTTTTGTTTTCTTTATCACACTTAAAAAGGGATCCATATTATTTTAAAAAGATCAGAGAAGAATTTTTTTTTTTTGAGTTGGGGTCTCACTCTGTCACCCAGGCTGAAGAAGGGAGAATTCTTTTTGTAAACAATGTCATTTTTTTTTTCTTCCAGTGAAAACGCACACTTAGGTGTCCCAGGTATACTGGGATTTCTTAAAGGGATGACTTCTACAAAGGTAAAATCCCCATAGAAAACAAATCTTCTATTTTACTCTCTGATCTCTTTGCTGCATAGACTGAGACTAAACTCCAGGCTCATTTCAGCATAGGCAGGAAGGAAGGAAGGAAGGACAGACGGACAGGAAGGGAAGGGAAGGGAAGGGAAGGGAAGGGAAGGGAAGGGAAGGGAAGGGAAGGGAAGGAAGGGAAGGGAGGGAAGGAAGGAAGGGAGAAAGAAAGTAATTTTTAGTTGTAAAAGGAAACAGGTTAAAATGTAACTGAGTATTAATACTTACGGCTGGTTCAACTTGACTTCGATCCGCAATATCTATGTGAACAATTTCAACAGTTTTCCATGTGTTTGGATCTAAACCATGTACCTACAAATGACAGAGAATGAAACAAAACAAACTGTAGATTATTCTTGCTAAGTAAAGCTATTATACTTACATATATAATCTTTGAGTCTCTGAGGGTACATTATAGGGAATAAAAAAATACAAATTACTATTTGATTAAATTCTGTCTGAAATCTTGAGGGATCTGGAAACTGTTACCACTTATATCCCCAAATAAAAAGGGGATGAGGAGAGGAAGATGCTGCCAAATAAACAGAAATCTGTCAGTATTATTTTCTGGTAGTCCTTAGAGATGCTCTATATAACAAATTGTACCTGTAACCCAAATGACACACAACAATGTCCTTGTAACCTGTAAATTCTATATATAGAAACATAAGGTGAGATTATAACTAGATTTCAAGAGGGTGCATTATACAGTTTAGTATCTCTCCCAACTTTGATTACGCTAAAGCTATTCAGTTTCAGTATAATATCAACTCCTCTATACTTTATGGTGTTGAGTCATTTATTTCTGAAACCCCATCTATGAACCAATTAAGAATTGTTTTTAAAATGCCAGAGATGTGACAGTGGATATGATGACTAGATTAAAGCATACCAAATTATCTTATTTAGACCCTAAATTTTAGATGAAAACATGAAATGTCAAATAATCACTTGAAAGAAAACTCAAGTCAAACACTACAAATTAAAACTCAAAAGTTCTTTACTTGGCATCAACACCATAAAAACACAAATTCCTAACAGTAAGAACAGAATTTTCCACAATCATTAACTTACTCTCTTGTAACAGCATGTCATAAGGTTGGAACAGGAGTTCTCAATTGAGTGGGCACCAGAAAACAGAGATGGCTGGGACCCACCTTCAGAGATTCTGACTCAGCAGCCCTTGGTAATGCCTAAATATGTACAACTCTAGCAAGTCCCCACATAACGTGCTGCTGTGCCTAGCCACCACACTTCTGAGAATCACAGAGATAACGGCATCAAACTATACCAAATGCCCTTCTAAGTACTGTGACAAAACTTACCAAAAGTTAATGATTACATTTCTCTGAGTCCTAACTGATATTCTTAAAACTTACATTAGAAGTAAATATGCACCAACTTACGTAAGTCAGGACCTTGTCAGTATTTTTATAAATGATTCGAAGTACCTTCTCCCCATGACTTTTGGTCATTTCTCTGATATCAACCCATATCCCAGCAAGGTGGAGTGGAGGTAAAAATTGAAGCAATCAAATTGGCTTTGCAGAGTACCTCCAGCAAATACACGGAGATGAAAAGCAATCTAGTTAATAAAACTAATGGCTAAATTGGGCTGGGGATTATCAGTGTATTTTGTTTTCCCATGCTCTCCCTGTCCCAGATAAAGAGAGTTGCTGATAAAAACAGCAACCTCACCAAAGTCCACTTAAGTGTCAAAGCAAAGGAACTGACAGGGAAAACCCGTTTGGTTTCTGATCGCTTGATTGCCTCACCTCAATTTGACATAGCTCGGTGTGGCCAGGTGCCAATCAAACACAGGTGACATTACTTTGGTGATGACAACAAGAACTACATATAGTACTCCCATTTCTAGGGGCTTCTGCACTGAAAGTACAGAGTTGAAACTTACATTTTCTAATGTTCCCAAGTCTGGTTTGTGCCATGTTTCAATTTTAATGAAGAAATCATCTTTCATATATTCATTCTGCAGAAAAACATAACAGGAAAATGACAGTGATCTTTCACTGGTTCTTTGGGGCCTATGTCTTAGGGAGCCTTTCCCAGCATAAGCGTCCATGCTTTGACTCTACAAGAAGAATGATTCTCAAATGACAATGAATCATTAGCTACTGATTTTTATAGACTTGTCAGATGCCACATGCTTCTAAATAATTTAAACAATCCTACGTGCCATACAACTGTAATGAAGCTGTGGAGTCTGGTGAGCAAATCTGGCATTCAAAAGAAGTAGTAAAAGCAAAGTCAAATCAATACAGAAATTGTGGACAAGGATGTAAAGAACTCAACACCGGGAACATGTGGTGGAGTGTGGGCTGGTGGAAGAAACACAGAGAAGGGAGTCATGCAGTGATGGGTAGTTTTAATAAAAAAGCAAAGATTGATCGAAAATAATTACTATGTAAAACAAAGTTTAAAGATGAAGAGTACATGCCAAAAATAGTTTTACTCACCGTTACAACTGAAGCATAATGGAGAGGCAGGCAAAAAAGGGGAAAAATTTCAGAATATTAATTGGAGTTAAAACAGTGTCCCAATATTCAATGTCACAAAGATTAAACTACCTAAAAACACAACATTTAGCGGCTAATGTCTGCAAAACATAGTCTCTATACAAGTTATAGGATACTTTAGATTATGGAGCACAAATAAAATATGAATGATAACCTGATTTTAAGATAATGCTAAAAAGAATAATGTCACAAAAGCAAAACATTATAAGGTTAATTTAGCAAATGACAAAAAGTTGTTTCAGAAGTCTGTCATATTCTTCCTCTACTATGTGACAACATAAGTAAAATACTATTGAAACTATACCAAAAGACACTTCTGAGTATAATTTCTGTATTCCCTCATTTGCTCAACCCTGGAGCCAGCACAGTCAGCAAGCACTTCAGTGTGACAGCCATCTGCAAATGAACGTGTGCCCTTCACAGAGATCTGGAGGAAGGAACCCAACACCATCGATTGGACAGTGACTGTCCAAGAACCCACAGAAGCCCTTGCTTAGTGTAACCCTTCTCAAAGACACTAGCACCAGAAGTCCCTCTCTTTGTGCTCAGGATGGAGGGGTAAGATGGCAGCTGGGGACCAGGCTTACTTGTTCTACAGTAGGGGTATGCATTCCAGGCTTTCTCATGAAACACCAAGGAGCCCTCGGGAGCAATCATCCGCACGAATGCAGGAACTTTGCTGTGAGGAGAAAGATACTGGATATATTTTCAACAGCACTATCAATTCTTTCTGGTATCTACCAAACTGCTTCAAAAAGTACTGTAATCAAAGGTAGTCACGTTCTAACTTTGATGAACTAGTATTCAAGACTGTTATCAACAGTTTATTTCAAATCCAAAATAATCAAGTGGACAATTAGTGTAAAAACAACAAATGATGAAGAATGTGAAACTACATGCAAGGCTGTTTTGGTTTTCAATAGAAGCAATTCTTTCTTAGGGGCTTTTGATCTACTCCTCTGATGTGAAACCTACGAGTTAACAGAAGCTACTTAACCTGCATATTAAACACAGAATTTATCTTGTAGTTAGATTTCATTACTGCATTACACTGTTTCTTAATGCAATAATCATCACAATAAGAGGATATCTCTCAATAAAAGTCTTTTAAAACATTTTACAGAACAGACCTAAAGAAAAATGACAATGTAAAGGACCCACGTAGAAAATGAGAAAGCATATCCCAAGTACAAAATGTAGGTGTGGGAGATGAATGTTGCTCATCGCCTCAAGTATGGTCAGAGGAAGAGAAGGGTCAAATAACATGATTAATATGTGAGAAGCTTATGCAAATTAATAAGATAATCAGGAACAATCCCAGGTGAAGGGGCAAAGGTCATTCACAGACCCATTATAGAGAGAAACCCCTACTCCTTACCAAATGAAAAGGAAAATCAGTCTGACCAGTCTTCAAAGAAATACAAATGAAATGACCATTTCTACTGATTGAAGCCTGCAGTTAAGAGTAACCACTTTACTTGCACAGACTTTTCACACAGATTGGATTTTAATCCTGACATCACTACTTAAAGTTGTGTGACCTTGGGCATATTACTTGGCCTCAATGAACTTCTTCACATATTGAATAAAGTTCACATTACCTGCTCTGTAGGGTTACTGAGAGGATTAAATCAGATAATATCCATAATGTGTGTAGCACATTGCACAGCACAATGAGAGCTCAAAAACTGGTAGCTATTGCTTTTTAATTATAAGCTGACATGGAGCTGGGTACTTTATTCATTTAAATCTTCCAATAACACTATGAAACATTATTTTATCACTTCATGAAACTAGCATTAAGTGGCTAAATAACTGTATGTCAAAACTATATCCTCAGCCAGGTTCGGTGGCTCAGTCTGTAATCCCTCGCTTGGGGAGGCTGAGGTGAGTAGATTGCCTAAGCCCGCGGGTTCAAGACCCGCCTGGGCAACTTGGCGAGACCTCATCTCTACAATAAATCAAAAATTAGCTGGGCGTGGTAGCGCACGCCTGTAGTTCCAGCTACTTGGAAGGCTGAGGCGGAAGGATCGCCTGAGCCCAGCAGGTTGAGGCTGCAGTGGCCAGGAGCGGCTACTGCACTCCAGTCTGGGAGATAGAGTGAGACTCCAACTCAAAAAAACCAAAACAAAAACAAAACAAAAAAAACTATGTCCTCAAACTTCAAGCCCTGATATATTTTCACCGTATCATTGATGCTTCCCTGAAAACTTTCAAGAACAATTTTACTTCCTCAACAAAAAGAACAAATTAAGAAAAATTGGAACCCAGAAAAGACTTGACACTGTAGTAAGACTGAACAGTTGGCCAAAGCTATTTCTATGTTGAATTTTTGCAGGTGATGCAAGGTAGACAGATTGTAAGGAACCCCACCCAACCAGAGAGCTATGCAGCAACAGAAGAGGTAGTCTGGACAACCCTTTCCTTCATCCCCTCAGTTACCGGGATGACAGTGCATAAGAATGGGGACCTGGTTTGAAGATTTCACTATTCTAACAAACTAAATCACTGGTAAAGAAAAGTCAAAGTACTCCTACAATAACTGGTAGTAGAAGTGAGATTCCAAGGGCATAAAAATATTTACGTGTGCCCTCACATTCCTAAAATAATGAAGGATGTCTATTCTTTGATCACTTATTCTTTTCAAATGGAACGATTCACACAAACGTCTAAAATATTATAACTGAAAAAAATGTCACCTTAAAAGTTAAAGAACATCTAATGGTGCAAAAAATTCCTCATATTGCTAAAGAACTAGAAACAAAATCCCTTTAAATGTGGGTGAGGTCTAACCAGGGGATAGTGCATTACATGTGAGTATTTTTTTGGTTTTTTTTTTGAGTTGGAGTCTCACTCTGTCGCCCAGACTGGAGTGCAGTGGCTGCTCCCGGCCACCGCAGCCTCGACCTGCTGGGCTCCGGCGATCCTTCCGCCTCAGCCTTCCGAGTAGCCGGAATTACAGGCGCGTGCTACCACGCCCGGCTAATTTTTTGATTTTATTGTAGAGATGAGGTCTCGCTGCCCAGGTGGGTCTCGAACCCGCGGGCTCAGGCAATCCACTCACCTCAGCCACCCAAAGGTGAGGGATTACAGGCTGAGCCACCGAGCCCGGCTAATTTTTTTAAGCCAAGCTATAAGATTACCTATTCATCTGAAGGTATGACAAACAGATGGTTCAGTTGGTCCAGCTTCAAAAAGGCAGGAGAAAAATAACTGAGTATTATTAGCTCAGAAACATAGTTTAGCTATCCAGTTTATTCCTGTAGTGCCTGATAAGTGAAAAACGTACCATGTAATCATAAAATGTAGAAAAATACAGGGAATAATCCCCAAAACTTAATATTCATAAAATGCTCTAAAATTTGCTGATTGGCAGTTCACCATTAAAGTCTATTAAGAGTCAAACCTACATGAAAGTTTTGATATTTCTTTATCTTACTATATCTTTAAAAAAATGTTTTATAAATGCCTATACCTTTTTTTTAAATTTTCAAGATGTGGAGTACAATTTAGGATTAGGTACACAAGTGGTCATTGTATGGTCCTCACTTCACCTGGTTTGAGATCAGGCACCCTTATTGATGTTGTGTGCCTCCTCTCCCTCCCCAAATGCCTGTATCTTATTTTCAGGATACTTCTTCTGCCATGTGAATTCCAACAATTCATTTATGTTTTGACATGGTTAATAAAGTTCAAACCTTTGAGCTAGTTTTGTTTCAAATTTACCGGCTTTTTTACACTTAACATAAGAATATTAACAAAGATATCTCTCTTCAATGGATCTAAGTAATTGACTAAACTTGAGGAAAATGCAAAAATGGAGTAAATATAATTAAATTTCAATTCTACTTTAAAGGATAGGGATTTTCATTAATGGCACCCTTAATATATTCTCAATGGGGCAGTTCAAGTTTGCCATTTATATATAATTGAAAGCATATATGTACATCATTTTCCCACCTCAGCTGCTACTTAGGAAGTCACTTTAGAAAAATGCAGGAAATTGCTTCTTTGGAAACCTAGAAAGTCTCAGAAAAGGGACAATTCTTAACTGAATTAACAAAAGGGAGCTAGGCTTTCAAAAATAAACATAGAAAAAGAACTGTTCTTCTCTTGTTCTACCAAACTATTCATGAAATGATGTTCTCTCATGACAAACCAATATTCCTAACAGTGCTTGCTTACTTCAAGGTAAACGTGTCTAGATTTCAGCTGCTTAAGACTGAGTTATCCCTAGTGTAATGCCCAAAAGCATGATGGTTCTTTAAGAATTCTTTGCCCTTTTTCCACTCTGAATGTACTTTAAGAATATTTAATTTCACAGTAAAAAGGAACAGAAATGTTTTATTCAATTGTGTTGAGAAGACAGTATTAAGATCTAACCTTAATATAACAATGGCGCCGAGTCTGTACTGGGGCAAGGCAACTGTCATAGAAGTATAGGAAACAAAAGGCTTCTATATGGTTCAGCAGACACATAACAGATGACTGTAATGTGCACTGAACAGCTGATCTAGAAACATTCCTTTTTTAAAAATTCTATTCCTGAAATAAGTAATACCATGCCAAATCACTTGGAAGTGCACTTTTCCTTTGAAATCTTTATGTCTATCTGTAACAATATAAGCAAAACTACTTTTTCCACCCTTTTCATCCTACTGCAGATGAACATCAAAATGTAGAAAAATACAGGGAATAATTTGAAGACCAGTTTAACTTACCACAAATAAACCAATTAATCTTTCATCATTTTATAGTCAACTCAAATATACCTAAAATACACTGGGAGGCCTTCTCTTCCCAGAGTTGGGAAAAGCTGAGTTGATGGGGCAAAAAAAAAAAAAAAAAAAAAAGGAAATACCTTGGGCACACCTCATTCACTCAAGTATTTACTGAGTGTCCACATTGCAAGGGGTTGTATAAATAATGGTGGGCACACAGGGACAAATTCCTACCCAGAACCTACCATCCAAGGAGGAAGCCAGGAAGGCCTCTCTGAGGAAGTGATATTACAATGGTGATCTGAGAGTGCAGGGGCAGGGAAGAGCACAGCAGGCAGAGGGAACAGCATGACCACAGGTCATAAGAAAGCAGAAGAGATTTGATCTGCCTGAGTCACTGGAGGGCTCAAGCATGGCTAGCCAACAGTGATCAAAGGAAGAGAGGGGAGCAAGACAAGGTTGATGAAGTCAGGAAGGAACAGAAAGAGCACATGAACTCATAATCTGATTTGAGTTTTAAAATCATTCTGGCTTTGTGGCAAAAATTAACTGGAGAGGGTGAGAATGGATGGTGGCAAAAATTAACTCAAAGTGAATAAAGACCTTTTAGTGAGAACTAAAACTATAAAATTCTTAGAAGAAAACATAGATGCAAATATTTGTGACCTTGGATTAGGCAATGGCTTCTTAGATATGACACCAAAAACATAAACCAAAAGAAAAAAAATTGGACTTCATCAAAATTATGACTATTTTTAAGCTTCAAAACAAACTATCAAGAAAGTGAAAAGACAACTCAGAGAATAGGGAAAATACATCTGCAAATCATTTATCTGATAAAAAAATAAACTAGTACCCAGAATAAAGAACTCAGACAACTCAATAATAAAACTAAATTAAAAAGTGACTAAGAGGTTTCAACAGATATTTCTCCAAAGAAGATAGACAAGTGCCCAAA